AGTGACTTGTCCAGAGTCACCCACCTAATAAGTGTCTGAGACCAGATTTGAACTCAAGAAGATGAACCTTCCTGACTCCAGACCCTTCATTCTACCCACTGCAGAGCCACCTAGCTGCCTATCCCAACCCTGTCCCCAAATAACAGGCTGTAATAATCAAGTTGATTCCCTTCTCTTCCCCTCCCTACCCTCCTCTCCACTAGCTGGAGAGGGACAGAAAGGGAGGTGGGTAGGTGAGGCGATCAAGAGTTCCTACAGCATCCTGCCCCAGGGAGGCTGGGAGCAAAGACCTGGTATCTGCCTGCTCTCACCAAGGCAGCTGTCGGTTTGACCCAATTTGGTCCCGGTTCCTCTGCTGGGCTTCCTATCCTCCCTCCTTCTGGCTGGCTCCAGGCCACCCCTGGCACATACCTGCCATTCTTCTATTCTCACCTTCCTGCTTCCATGCACACACTCCCAAAAGATTTTAGTTCATACTTCACATTTCCCTGCTTTTGTTCACCGAAGGCAGTGCACCTGTCCCAGGATCCTTGCTTTGACAGGACACGTACAAGGCTGAGATGGCCACTTCTTCTGCCTTCTCTGTCTCACTGGTCCCCAAATCTCCCACCGCCCCCCCAAAAAAACCCTGAGTGAAAGTCTCTTCAAAGCCAAAGGACACGGGAAACCTGGGAACTCTGGGGAAATGTATGTCTGGCCATACATTCCAGCCACCAACTTTCTATGACCTTTGGTCTTTCAAAGTCTATGATCCCTGGAATGTCCTCCTGAATCTTCTTGGGTTCTCAGAAAAATGCAACTATACCATAGTCTTCGTTCTTGGGTCCCTTCCAACTCTAATGTTCTATGTTCTATAACATTCTAAGTCCTATATACTCCAGATGGGACATTCTATGACTGTAAAATTTGGGTTCCCCCAGTTCCTAACTCCATCAGGAAGTGTTCTGTTGGCTCCAGAGATCGGCCCTTCCTAAGGCTGACTCCGGAATATGCTGGCTACTGTATTTATAGATTTTGCTTTGAGGCCTACATGGCACGACTGGGAAATGAGGGTCTCCTCTCAGGAGGAGACATATGCTGCTGCCCCCAGCCCATTAAGACCTTCCTCAGTTTCATTTCTAGAGTCTGTTGCATAATTGGACTATTCATTTTGAGTGAGATTAGGTGGGTTTTTTTTCCCTTTAAGAATAGTTTTTAAAAATGAAATGATTTGTGCCCAGAGAAGATAAATATCTTTGCTGAAAGCTCCCGACCAGCTTGCCAGCTGCAGTCTGCATCATGCTGTCGGTGAAGCCTGGGCTTGGCAGACCAATCTGCATGTGTATGTGTGTGTGTGTGTACATATGCCGTGCAGCTGCTGCATCCCTGACGGACCCGCCTATCCAAGCAGTTCTCAAACCAACTCCTGGTCCCTTGTCCACCATCTTTAACTCTTCTTGGCTCCAGTCTCCTTTTTCTGAAGAGAGCATTAAGTCAATGACCACATTACTGTGTATCTAGCGATAATTGGTGATGAGAGGATGCCTTGTTTGTCCGTCCTATGGATCTCTGATCCTCTCTCAGTAAAGTATGGAATCCCATTTCCAGCAGTAAAGATGGGATGTCCTGAACCCTCCTCACTCATCTGTATTTAGAAGCCAATTCCCTGTCTGGCCCAGTTGGTGCCAAACTTGATTCATTAGTAGCATGCCCAATAATCCATCACTGTGTAATCTCAGTCAAATCCCCTTCTTTGAGCCTCAGTTTTGTCATCTGGAACAAAGGCATAATAATATTTGCTCCACTTGCTTCATAGGGTTATTGAATGAAACATGTTTAACAAACCTGAAAGTTCTGTATAGAAATAGGAATTATGATTTCTGAGCTTCTAAATGTTTATACCTTTCTAGTTAAGTGTACCAAAAGACTGGGGCTGGAGAAGCAAAAACAGCCCAGAGGTCAAAGGACATGAGTTTGAGTCCCAGCTCTGCAACTTGCTAACCACATGACATTAGGCAACTTGCTTCCTTCTCTTAACCTCAGTGGCCTCATCTCTAAAACGGGGATAATAATATTTTTATGTCATGGATTTGTTGGGGGAATTAGATGAGATGGTGAACATTAAGTGCTTTTAAACCTCAAACCCTTATATAAAGTCAGCTACAACTAGCTATAAAATGGGAATAATAACAGCACAGCACAGTAGAAATGGGGCAGCTAAGAGGTGTAGTGGATAGAGTGCCTGGCCTTCAGTCAGGAAGACTCTTTTCCTTGAGTTCAAATTCAGTCTCAGATATTTACTAGTTGTGTGACCCTGGACAAGTCACTTAACCCCAATTGCCTCCAAAGAGGAAAAAAAAGAAAAAAAACCCAAATCAATAGCGTCTTGATTCTCTGCCTTGTTACCATTCTCCTTGGCATCTTGCTCTTTGGACTTAGGGTGTTGGACGCTCAAGTGTCTTCTAGCCCTGAATTCAGTGAATACAGAACTACTCCAAAGAGCATGAAAACAGACCCATAACTAGAGCATCATGACTGAGGCTTTGTCCCAGGGCAGCCCAGTTTAGAGAGTGCAGTGATGGTGAGCTCCTAGAGCAGTACTTTTGAAATAAATCCCCCCTCCCACTCTACTGAGTTGTAATTTTTTTTCATATTATGAGTTACAAGGTTTATTTGAGGGAGAATTCATGTTGCTTGTTCCCGAGGTGATTCTTGCCCTGGCCCCCAGGCACATCAGAATCTCTAGTCATGTTTCTTTTTAATTATTCCCTGAAGTTTTAAGGGTTCTTTGAGCACTATAGGCCCATGGGTTTGCCAGCCAAGATGAGAGCTGAGAAATTAAGGCAACGGCTGCAGGGGTAACAGTGTGACTTTGGCCACAGGGCTATGGGGTCCTGTTTTCTATGATTCTGTGTTTAAAGGGACTCAAGGCTCTGTCCCAATGACAACAGGACTGTTATGAGCAGGCGTCACATGGAGATATAGAAAGTGGGAACAGCATAGTAGTTGGGGATGTTGTGGGAAGAATCAGAGTAGCAGATTGAAAACAATGTCACACTCAGACTCAAGAATCCTAACTCTTCCATTTAGTTGCCTTAGGCAAATCACTTAACATCTCTGAGGCTCAGTTTCTCCATCTGTAGAATGGGGATAGGAATAATCACACTACCTACCACACAAGGCTTTTGTGAGGGAAATATTCAATCATTCATTTGATAATCTTTTAAAAATTTATTGAAGTAGTAAAAATTCATTTTTTTCTCTCTCCCAACTCCCCTTCACTGGGAAAAAAAAGAAAAGAAAAAAAAAATCTTTCAACCGCCATTTTAAAGTAACTGTTCTATGTCAGACACTGAAAACACAAAGACAAAAAAAGAAACACTTATTACCCTCAAGGAGCTTACATTCAATCTAGAGAAGCAGACTTTATACATTTGAGTCAATAGGAAATATATACAAAGTTAACACTTTGTAAACATTAAAGACAATCATCACTCCAAAGTGTCCACCTCCAGGGCTGGATGTTCAATGTATCCTAATCATATCTCTGAGGCTCTGGAGTGGCAAAGCGGGTTATGAAACCATCAGAAGACTCAGGTCACCAGAGTCACTAGCCCTTTCTAGGTTTCTCATTTCACCTCTCTGAGGCTGTTTCCCCATCTGTAAAATGAAAAAGGGTTGGATTGGATGAATTCTAAGGTCCCACCGTGCTGTACATCTCTGATCCTGTGATCCATCTGTAAAATGAGAGAGTCAGGCTAGGTGATTTCTCGTGTTTCAGTTCTTAAAATCCTTGACTGGAACTATGCCCTGCTTGATGGGGATGGCTACAGGCCAGCGTCCACCAGCTGTATCCAAATGAAGCCAGATGTGACAGACTGTCAATTAGCCCTGGGAAAATGCACAGGGAGTCTATCATTGGGAAGATCCTCAATTTACACCTGAGTATCCCTGGCTGGCAGAAGAACCAGGACATGGGCACTGTTTTCAATTAGGAAACATCACCCCCTGCAAGGAAAACAAAAATATCTTTCTATCTGATAATGGGCAACACTTGGGAGAGACACAAGAAGGATGGCAATGTTGGTCCACTCAGCAGTTGTTAGTCTCTGCCCAGGGACAGGGTACATGCAGATGGCTCTGGGGTAGGGCAGAAGGTAAGGATTGGGCTTTCTCAACATCCTCCCACCAAAAAATTAAAAAATGACCCCAGTGAGCCAGGCAGGTAGTGAGGAGGAATCCCAGGCACTACTAGAATGCAGCCCATTCCTAAAGTCCTGGCTGGAGTAAAAACATCATTGCTCTCTGTGCCTCAGTTTAACTATCTGAAAACAGAAACAGTATCCATAGGTCAACTCCTCAGAGAAGTGTTAGGGAAGCGAGGACCTGGTCCCAAAGACCCAGGGAGTAAAGAAGGTCAGGGGCTAGAGGCCATGGACTTTCATGGCATGGGCTACTCTGATCATAGAATTATGGATGTGTGCTGCATGGTCCTCAAAAGTCACCTAGTTCAACACTTTCAATTTTCCTGATGAGGAAACTGAGGCACTGAGAGAGGAAATAACTTGCCCAAGGTCACAGAACTAGGATTTTAAACCAGATTCTCTGAATTCAAATACAATAATCTTTGCATTATACAACAAAGGTAACAGGGAAGGGTCATGGAGATGACATACCCCTCCCCCAGCCTCATGGTATGGGAAATTACTTCTCTGTCCTCCTTCCTCTCTCAATCTTCACATGATTGGAGTCCTGACTCAGTTCTCAGATCCACCAGTGACTAGTCTGGGTGGCCAGGGGTAGATCACTAGATTTTTCTGAGCCTCAATTACTGTATCTGAAAAGGAGACAATACCATTGACAGTAGCTAACTCTCACGTTTGCTGTGAGGAGTCATTTGTCAACCTAAAAGTCCTAGAGAAAAACCATAATGTTATTATCATGATTGGCCTTTTGGCTACCTGCTTAATTGTCTCTATCTTTATTTTCTTCCTTTTCTACCTCTCTGCCTACTCTCTCAGCCAAAGAAAGTTCCTTGGGAGAAACTGAGATAGCACCCAACTCTGACCCAGTGGGGATGGACAGCAACTACCTCGGCATGAAGGAGGCTGGGGTGAAGGGCTCCCAGGACAGGGCTGGCACAGACCTACCCAGCCCCATGGAAAAGGCCGACTCAGAAAGCAACAAAGGGAAAAAGCGACGGAACCGTACTACCTTCACCAGCTACCAGCTGGAAGAGCTGGAGAAGGTCTTCCAGAAGACCCACTACCCAGACGTCTATGCCCGAGAGCAACTGGCCATGAGGACGGACCTCACCGAGGCTCGGGTGCAGGTCAGTCTGGCGTAGGGTCGGAGAGGGGAAGGATGACAGGCTGAGGGACTCTCTCAGGCCCAGAATTCAAGCTGGGCTGGTCAAGAGGTCAATCAAGTATACGTGATATGGGCAGTGTGAGGGAGGAGAGAAGAAGGCAGGGCCTTTGCCTTTGAGGGTCTCACATTGATGGGTTAGACTGGAAAAACATTTTTAGAAAACCAAGGAACATGAACATCACAGAATCTCAGAATGGGACAGGGCCATACCTGAACAAGAATCCCAGTAAATTCTCACTAGAATACTCCCTACAAATAGTCAGCCATTCTCTGCTTAGAGATTTCCCAAGAAGGGTAACCCCCCAACTCCTGAGAGAAAAAGCTCTAATTCTTAGGAGATTGTCCTTTACATCAAACTCAGATCTCTACAACCTCCCAGCAGAAACAGCAATCTCATTAGAACCAGGTGCAAAGAGTCCAAAGTTGCCTCCTTTGAAGAAGAGGAGGACATGCGTGATGTCTTTTAGAAGTATGGCTAGTCCTGGATTCAGTTCCTGCACCTGATATCTTGGCTGTGAGACCCCATGTAAATCCCCTAACTTCTCAGTGCCTTGGGCAATTCTGAGACCATAAATTACAGAGAAGGTGCCAAGCTGCCATGGTAGAAGGAGTTTCTTTCCTTTACCAATGAATCCAACAGATCTAGTTCATGTCCCTTCCATTAAAAAAAATACATTTTAAAAGCCTTGTTTATATAAAGGAGTAAAGTCTTACCCCTGGAAAACTTACATACATTATTTTATTGCATTCTATCTTCACATTGACTCTATTAAGTTAGAGCAGGGATTATTATCCCCATTTGACAGATGAGAAAATCAAGGACCAGAGTGGAGAAATGATTGCCCAAGGTTACCCAGCTGACTGGGGGTTGAATTCAAACTAGCCCTCCTAATCCAACAATCTTCCCATTACCCCTGGTGTCTTTAATTAACCCCCACCTCTTCTTGTTGAATAAAGGTACCCAGCTGAGCCCAAAAGCAAGAGGTGGAGGGATTTGGGTAAAAGTGAACATTCATGAAACTCCTACTGTGAGCTCAGCCCTGGGGAACGTGTTTAAATGAGACACAGTTTCTTCCCTCATTGCATTTCTTGTATAGTAAGAGGATAGGAGAGTTAAAAAAAAACACAGCATTATGTGAGGTGTGTTGGAGAAGGTGGTTACCAACTGGAGGGAATCAGGGGAAACTTCCTGTAGGAGGTGGAATTCAATTCAGGTTTGAAAGAATGGGTAAGGATACATAAGGCAGAGGGGACCAAGTAATAACACAAAATGATCAGGACAGACAATAATCGAATGCAGTTAGAGCATAGAGTGTGTGAGGCGAGGAATGTGAGATAAGACAAGAAAGAGCGGCCCCAGAGGGTGAATGGCCTTGAATGCCAGGAAAAGAAATCTGAACTTGACTCAGTAGACAGGTTTCTTGGGGGAGGTGAGGCCAAAGCAAGGTTCTAAAATGAAGGGGGGCGCAGCTAGGTGGCATAGTGGATAGAGCACCAGTCCTGGATTCAGGAAGACCTTAGTTCAAATCTGGCCTCAGACACTTGATATTTACTAGTTGTATGACCCTGGGCAAGTCACTTCACCCCATTGCCTTGCAAAAAAAACAAAAGAAATAAAATGAAGAAGGCATGTGTATTGGTGGAAAAGAAGGCTGAGGGAATATTAAGCAGAAAGAATAGTCCATGATGGTAATCATCTGCCAACAATTCAATAAACTTTCATTAAGCACCTAGAGTGGGCTGGGCACTATCCTGGGACCCAAGAACAAAAATGAAAACCAACCCTGCCCTCAAGGAGCTTACATTCTACTATTATTATAATAGGGTAGTATGGTAGAGAGGAAAGATCACTGGGCTAGAAGTCAAAAGACTGGGGTCCCAAACCAAGCTCTGCCATCAGTGAAGGAACAAGTAGATCAATGAATGAGTGAATGCCCAAACGAATGAATCACTTCCTATGTGCCAAGCGCCGTGGTAAACACTGGGGATACAAATTCAGAAGCCACGGCAGTCCCCTGATGTCAAGGTGATTACATTCTAATAGGGGATGAGGAGAGGAGACACCAGGGAGGTTCCTCCCGGAGTGATCCAGGGGAAATCACTCCACATTTGTGCCCGTTTCCTCATCAGCTTGTGCCTGCATGTATCTACGTAAATGTGAATGTGTGTGGATGTGTGTATATGGATAGAAACACATATAACACATATATATTATACATCTGTGAGTGTGTAAACAAACATGCACACGCATGCTGCCTCTAAGTTATGAGATAGGATGTGGATGCCCTTCTCTGCCTTGAAAGAAGGGCCTACTGGACGACCAGATGAATTCCACCCATGTGCAGCCTAGGGACTCTCCTGCTGGGGACCCTGGGTGCCTGGAGCCAAGCTGAGGAGGACAGAGATAGAGTAGGAGGGGTGGGCTTTTCTAGGAGGGAGCCTGGCGTTTGGCTGGGCTCCAGGTGCTGGAGGGGCCTCTTCTGTGCCTGTCTAGGATTCCAATCTCCGCAGCTGGTGTCTGAAGACAATAAGGCCTCCCCATCCCTGGCCCACCCCGCCCTGGCCCCAGATGGGCTGTGGTTAGCGTGAGCTTTGCCAAGGCAGTTGGTTCCTTGCACAGCTCAGCCCCCCAGAGAGGCCTGTGTTGAGTGGGCCTATGCTTGGGGCTGGGGTTCAGAGGCGTGGTGGTCCTGAAGCTCAGGATTTGAGAACTTCCGGCAGCTTCAGGACGCTCGCACTGATGAAGAACAGACACTTAGACTTCTTAAGGTCTTGGATTCTAGAATAGAGACCTTGAGGAATCCACATGATTCCAAAGCCTGAGGACTTGGGAATGTGGCTGGGGAGCCGGAGGGGTTCTGAAAGCCAGGGATTTGAGTTTTGGAGTGGTGTGGATGGGGGAGTGGGGAGTAGGGATGGGAAGCTAGACTTTGGAAGTTTTGGAAGTCACAGGGTTGGAAAGTCTGGCAGGTTCTAGAGCTCAGAAATGCAGACTCTAATAAACCCATCAGTCAGTCAATCAATGAAGATTTGTTAAGGGCTTATTATGTGCCAGATACTCCTTCCCTAGGGGAGATCTTCCCCACCCCTGCCCCCTGGGTTGAACTATAAACTGAGATTAGGTTTAGAATCATAGAATGGCAAGAGTTCAAAGGGACCTTAGAACATAATCTGAGCTGGGAGTGACATTAGAACATAGAAAATCAGAGCAGGATGGAAGCTTAGAACATAGAATGTAAGAGTCAGGAGGGAACTGAAGACATAGGACAGAATGGAGGAGCTGGATGGGACCCCAGAACAGTCATCCCAACTCTTTGTTCCCCACCCCCAAAACACTCCCCCACACACACCATCTCTCCATCTCTCTCTGTCTCTTTGTCTCTATCTCTGTTTCTGTCTCTCTGTCTCTCTCTTTCTCTGTATCTCTGTCTCTCTGTCTCTATCTCTGTCTGTCTGTTTCTGTCTCTCTGTCTGTCTGTCTGTCTCTGTATCTGTCTTTCTGTTTCTCTCTCTCTCTCTCTCTCTCATCTACACCTGCCTTTTTCTCCTTGCACACTCATTTAACATTGATGGAACTCCCTTGGGGGCCCCTCCTCCCTTCATTTCCCACAGATATCTTTACCTCCATTAACCTCATTCATCCTCCTTAACCAGCATACTAACAGCCATGTCCCTCACACCTGTCTTGCTTATTCCTTCCCTCCACATTTTACCTCCTCGTCCCACCTCACCCCCTTAACTCCTCTCCTCTCTTCCCCTGACCACTTATCTCCTCTCCTCCTCCTCCTCCTCTTCTTCTTCCTCCTCCTTAGAGAAGCAGGCTTGCCCCTAGTGCCTTCTGCCCCATACATCTGAACAACCCTCCTTTCCCAAGACAGTTTCTAGGGTAAGATGTCCATGTGCCAGGGAACCCCAGCCCCCCAGCCCCCTCCCAGGCACCAGCTATTCCCAATTCAGTCCCATGAGGGACCTGAGACTCCAGGAGGTGGGAAGGGAAGCTTCAGAGGCTGCTCAGCATTTTCCTCCTTGTCTCTTTCTTCCAAAAATGAAAAAAAACCCCAGCAATATATCTTGATGCCTCATCCCCCTCCTCATGTAGCCCCCCCTTGCCTCCCCTCAGCTTCCCCCACATAAAACCCTGGGAGGCTGAGGCAGGAGGAGCGGAAAGACTGAGCTAAGCCTGCAGGAAATTAAACATGAAATGAAAACAAGCTTTGGCTATTCCCTCTCTCATCCTGCCCTCCACCCCCCATTCCAGGCCACTGATAAAACGGGATCCAGTTTCATTGGGAGATGAAGCCTGGCTCTGTGCTCTGTGCTCTGTGCTCTGGGCCCTGAGGGGTGGGAGGCAGACTGGGGGACCAGCCTGGGCTGTTCATTGCCAGGAAGAGGCAGGGGATAGGACAAGATGGCACTGAGGCCCAAGTGAAGTTCAGTGAGTTGAGTCAGGGGAAGCCTAGGGGAGAGGGAGCCATGGGAGGATGTGAAGGGTGCCTTCAAGAACTTGAAAGCCTTTCTTAAAGAAGAGGGTCAGATTTGTTTTGCTTGGTCCCAGAGGGTTAGGCTATGAACAATGGAAAAAAATTATGAAGAGGCATATTTAGGTTAGAGACCAGAGGGAAAACTTGCTAACACTTAGGGTGATTTCCAGAGTGGAATAGGCTGCCATGGGAGGTAGGAAGTTCCCCCTTCCTGAAAGTTTTTAAACAAAAGATGAATGACCGATTGTCAGACACGTTGTAGTGGGATATGGATTAGGCTAGATCAGCCGCCATTGAGGTCCTTTCCTGCCTTGACACTCTGTGACTAAGGTTCTGGCCCTAACTCTGCCTCTTACTAGCCAGCCATGCAACCTTAGACACATACCCTTTATTTCACAGGGTGGGTGTAAGAATCGAATGAGCTGGGAGATAGAGGCAACTCACTTTTTGCTAGAATTCCCATATTGCAGATGAAGAAACTGAGGCTCAGGCAGATGCTGTCTTTTGTATATAAATGCTATCTAAGCATGAGCTCTGGTTCTCCTCACCTTTACTACACCCCTTACCAAAAACCCTTTGCCCTTTTCCTCCGTTTCATCCCTCCAGCCTTTGCTCTCTCTGGTGGTGTCTCCCTAATCCAAAGGAACCTTTGAATCACCTCCAGTTAGATGTGAAAAGCCATTCCAGGACTTGATGCTGCTTTTTCCTCACTTTCTCCTGCCCATTCCCTAGCTTCCTCCAACCCCAGGGCAGAATCAGAGTCACAGAGTTTCAGGGTTGGCAGAGATTTCTGGTACCATAGGAATTGCCATCAGAATCACAGGATTCAGAGCCAGAAAGGACTTCTTTCGTCCAGCCCCATCCTTTCCCTGACAACCTAAACCAAGTCAAGAAGGAAGATATGACCTAACCTGAATCACACCGATAACATGGAGCAGAGCACACATTTTAATAGCATGTCCTCTGATTCCATATTCAGAGTCCTTTCCACTACAAGCTGCCTCATTTAGAACAGCCCCTACCTGAGTATGAATTCCCTGTACAACATCTAGAAAAGAGCCTTTGCTTGAAGACTTCCCATGATGGGGAGCTCCCTCCCTCCCAAGGCAACCCATCCCATCACTGGACGGGTCTAATTGTCAGGTCATCCAGCGAGTGTCTTTGTCCCTGTAACTTCTATCTGTTGGCTTTCGTTTTGCTTGACAACCTAGCCAGTGATGATGATGGTGATGTCTGATGTCATCATCGTCACCATCATCATTGTCATCATCAACATCAATAACAACAATAACATTGTAGCATTTCCATGTCAGAACTTGAAGGTTTGCAAAGTATTCTACCTATATCTTTTAATTTCATCTCCACAGTATCTCTTTGGGGTAGTTGTTATTATTATCCCCACTTAACAGGTGAGGAAACTGAATCTGAGTGAGGTTAAGAGAATTACCAGGAGTCACAGAGCTATCAAGTGTCTGTGACAGAATTTGAAATCAGGTCTTCCTGAATCCAAGTCCAGGGCTTCTACCTATCATGTTACCCTCTCTCTATAAAACTGATCGAGTCTAAATTGGAATGCTCTGAGATTCTCAAAAGGGTTAGGGAATTGGGGGCCAAACAGGATACTGGATGGGGTCCTCAAACCCTAATCCTTAGGGACTCCATCTCCAGCCCACTCCCCACACATACTTCTATCCTCAGGTCTGGTTCCAGAACCGACGGGCGAAATGGAGGAAGCGGGAGAGGTTTGGGCAGATACAGCAGGTTCGAACTCATTTCTCTACGGCCTACGAGCTGCCCCTCCTTACCAGAGCTGAGAACTATGCCCAGGTGAGTGCTCGATTCCAATCCTAGCCTCAGCCCCCTCACTCAAAGACTAGGTGTCGAGTATGAGAGAGTGAGGACCAGGGTCCTGTCATCATTTCTCCCCTGACCCCTCATTTTCCATCCTTAGGAACAGAGAACTCATGGGAGTTGCTCCTTCCATTATGATAAGTTCTTTGAGATCCTGCCTCCAAGAGCATGGAGGAGAATGGAATATTTGAGTTATCGGGGGAGGGAGTGGTTGGGATTGAAAATCAGGCTCCTAGGAAGTTTATCCTCATCCCAAAAAGGATGTCATTCCAGGGAGCTCTGTGACAGACGATTCACTATCTCCTCTCTGTACCTACAGAGCTTTGGGGCATCTAGGGGCCAGAACCTGGCTGAGCCTTAGGGAAGGAAAGATTTCTCTCTCCTTTTTCCCTTCTTCTGACTTTGTCACCTTCTGGGACACAGAGAGCAGCCTGACTCCTGGCCATCTCACAGAGGAAGCCCCTCTTTTTGGCCTCCTCTCTGCCCTGCCCTCCTTTGCACCTCCCCCCCAGCTGTAGCTCTGTGTTGGCTGAAGTGAGTGCCTGTGCTGAGCCAGGCTCCAACGTCTGTACAGGCTAAGGGATAGTGGCCTTTCCACCCCCAGGAGGCCGCCTAGAGAACTTGGTTCCCAGGGAGGGGGGCCCTGAAACCTGGGAGCTTCTGGGAAGCCTGGCCCCTCCAACCTGGCCTACATTTTCCAAAGCCCCCAGGCTTCCAACCCAGATGCTGGGCCTGCTTTCTGCAAAACTGGGACATCAGCAAAGTTTGACTTTGGTGCTTCCCAGCTCCCTGCTCTGGGCCCCTTCCCCCTTCCTGGCCCCCAGCCTTTCTTTAGATGACTCTCCTATATCCCATTCCTGTCTCCTATTTTCAGAAGACATTGGTCTCAGCTGGTTGTCAGCTAATAAAATCTTAGTGACCTTAGATGCCATCCTGTCCCGCCTCTCTCCCAATACAGAAATCCCCCTCATCAACATCCACAACAGGTATTTGAACGATGCTGGTGATGCAGAACAGTCCCTTTTTAGACCCTGGTTCTGTGATGGGTCTTCAAGACCCAAAGATCTCTCTCTCTCTCTCTCTCCCTCTCTCTCCCTCCCTCCCTCTCTCTCTCTCTCTCTCTCTCTCTCTCTCTCTCTCTCTCTCTCTCTCTCTCTCTCTGTGGAATTTGGGCCAAGGGCAGTGGGGAAGATGTTCCAGTATTGAATGGTACTATTCTATTTGCTCTCACACAAAGGATCCCCTGGCTGGTCCTCAAGGAGCCAGCCTGTGATTTCTCTACTTGCCTCTTCTTAGATCCAGAATCCATCTTGGATTGGTAATAATGGAGCAGCTTCTCCTGTCCCAGCCTGCGTGGTCCCCTGTGATCCAGTGCCCACCTGCATGTCTCCTCATGCCCATCCCCCTGGTGCCAGTGCTGGTGTCTCTGACTTCCTGAGTGTCTCCGGGGCCAGCAGCCACGTGGGCCAGACACACATGGGCAGCCTCTTTGGGGCCACAGGCCTCAGCCCCGGCCTCAACGCTTATGAGCTCAACAGTGAACCTGACCGGAAGAGCTCCAGCATCGCGGCCCTACGGATGAAGGCCAAAGAGCACAGTGCTGCCATTTCTTGGGCCACATGACAGGGCCCCTCATGCTTTCCCCCTACCCCCTTCCCCTGCCTCGGGGCATTGGCCAAGCCCCTGGTCCCCAGGCCAACTGCCTATTCGACTCTCCTCATTGCCCAAGGCCCTGGGAGCCAGGGTAGCTTCAGGAAGTTGAGAGAGCACTTTTAGTTGCCCAAAGTCTGGGCTGATTGAGTCCTCATGGACTTCCTGACGGGCAAGGGAACAGGCCTGGCCTCCCCTGGCTCTGAGGCTCTCGTCCCACCCACTCTGGGTAAAAAGGCAGTAGAAAAAGTCCTGTTGTCAAGTTCTGAAGCTTTTCGTCCATTGGAAAGGGAGACCATCTCTCCACAGCCTGAGCCCCAATTTCCTCCAGCCAGATTCCCGTCCAGACAGGGCCTGACCCAGGAGTGGAGAACATCCCTCATTGTGACCCATCTCTTCCTGTAGCATGAGGACCTTCCTCTGGAATCTCCTAATGAAATGGTTCCTATGCACCAAGGAGACATTTCCCACCCACTCCTCTGTTTCCCCCTCTCTCCCTAAAATAACACAAGAGCCTGCCTCTGAAACCCAGGGTTGCCTGCTTCTCTCTGCTGCTGTCCCATTTGCCAAAGCCCAGACTGGGTACTTGACTGAGACTCCCTTAAACTGGATGCCCATTGGGAAGGAGGGACTGGTGGCCTTTGTGGTTGTTTTTTTTTGGGGGGGGGGGGGTGAGGAATCACAAGAAGAGCCAGCCTTAGGACTGATGGGATGCAGATTGGGTCAGGGAGAACAGGAGCTTGTGATGGAGGCTGGGACAGAAGGATGGACAGACAGCCTGGGAGATAGTCTCCCATCTTCCTCCTGGACAAGAGACTGAGTGCTAAGAATCAAAGGGGGATAAAGTAGGGAAAGAGAAAGACCAGACTCAGGGGATGGGTGAAGACAAAAGAGGGATCTCCTTCAGGGCTAGACTCCTCATATCATTGAATCCAAAAGGAAAGAACCCCAGTAAGGAAGAGCAAGCTGTTGTATGTGGAGGGAGTCCTCAGCACAGTAACAGGCTGGTGCCAAGAGTGCAAAGCACAGAGATGGGAGGTGAGCCCTGGAGAAAAGCAAGGGACAGGCAGAGGGAAGCTGGATCCTCTTCATCCTCATTTCCCAATGAATGGAGCAGAGTCTGAAGTTACCTCTGACCCTCAGTCAACTGAGGCAGCTAGGGCTAGATCCTCTAGAGGTGCCAGAGACACCATAGTGCTCTTGGTCCCCAGGGAAGATAGACTAGGGCTTTCCAGTAGGAAACTAGGAGGAAAGCTTTACACTCTCTTCCTGCTGGGGTGGAGGAGGAGGAGGAGGTACTTTGGAATGGAATCACCAGAGGTCATCAGGTTCCTCCTCTGCCTCCAGGCTGTGCTGCCCACCAACTATCTCAGATCAATTCCATTCTTTTTCCATTTGCGTTCTTCCAACAGCTCATAACTTATTCTGCCAGTATATTCTTTCATCTAGCCCCAATACTTCCCATAAAAGTTGAAATTCACCCTCTCCTGACCCCAGATAAAACAGTTATTATCATCATAACAGCCCTTCCCATGTTTGAAAACCTTTCAGTGAGTTCCTCCTCAGCCTTCTCTTCTTGGGTAGAAAGAACCCCCTAACCCTTTAGCCTTTCCTTAGAGCTTTCTTAGAAGGAATCAAATGTTTCTGCCTAAGGGAGTGGCTCCTGACTCTTTACCCGACTCTCTGTGCAATGCCACATGCCCAGTGGCTGGATCCTGTGCGATGTGATGCCAGGGACCCTTGGAAGCTAGACAGAGTGACTGCTTGTTTCTGTGAATGGTTCCTTTTCCACCCAGGGGTTGGATATAGATAGAGTAGATATAGACTATCATCAATGAAAACCTTCCAGCCTACTGGTCCAGTTCCAATCCCCACCAAGATCTGTAGCTCTAGCTATACTAACAAGAGTCTGGTTCCCCTAACTTGAGTTCAAAACCCTTACTCCTATGTTGGCAAGTCTGGAGTGGGGTCCACACTGGCTGCTCTCTCTGTGTTTCATTCATGCCAACAAACATGTATTATTGCCTATCTAGTATAAGATACCCACAGTAAGGGAACTCAGAGGCCACCCATTCTAACACACTCATTTTTACAGATGAGGAAACTGAGTCCCAGGAGGTGAAGTTACTTGTCCACACAGGTAGCAATTCTCAAGTTGGATTTGAACCCACAACTTCAGCCTCCAGAGCCAATACTCTCTCCAAGGGTAAGGCTTGATGAAGGAAGAGGTACCACAGAAGATTAACTCTCAAGGAGCTGGTGAATATTGGGGTGGTGTGAGGAGAGAACAAATGTACTGTTATCATGAAACAAAGGAGGGTGAGATCAGTGCAAAGGAGAAATTGGGGCAAAGCAATATGAGGTATTTGAGAAAGGAGACATCACTTTCATGGGTCGGGGGAGGGGAACAAGGCAGAAAAGACTTTCTGGAGGATTAGCATCTAAGTTGGACTTTGAAGGAAGAGAGAGACCTCAATAGACAGAGGTAAATGTACAGAGGCAGGAGAGGGCAGGGTGGCTGGGAGAACAGAGAATTTTCCAGTTTGGTTGGAATGTAGCATATATAGAGGAGAATAGTTTGAGATAAAGGCTCTCTTGGGGAAACTGAGCCCCTCTCACCCTTTGGAATACTACTCCCTGCCTCCTTTTTAGACACTGGAATGTTGCCTCTCTCTCCTTGCCTGGTCTCCTAAGTCTTCTCAGGTAAGGATCAGGAATGGCTCTGAGGCATAGGGGTGGTCATCATGGAAGAAAGAAATTATGACCCTGATCTTACCCAAGGAACTTTCATTGAAAAGCCCCACAAATGGTCCTCACTCCCCTTCTCTTCCCCCACCACCCCCAACCTCAGCTGCTTTAAGGTTCAGATCCCCCCACATAAGGTCATAGATCTAGAGTTAGAAGGCCACTCAGAGTCCACTTTCTACCCCCATTTTACAGACAAGGAAACTGAGGCCCATGGAAGTTGAGACTTGGCCAAGGTCACACAGGTAATAAGAGTCAGAGGTGAGATTAGAATTCAGGCCTTCTGACTCCAAATCTAGCACTCACACTACCTGTGAGGAGACTGATTCCTCTTACTTCACCCAGCAGGGGAACGTGTGCCTGAGGATCTCCATGGCTGAATGGGGAATCTGAGGCACGGTGAGATGAAGGGATTCACCCAAGATTATTCCCCAAAGGCAAAATGGAGATGCGACCTCTGGTCTCACCCTTTGTTGCCTAGTGATCTCATCCAGAGATGCCTGTTTGGCAATGAATGAATCTCCAAGAAATGAGTCAGAGAGCAAGGGTTGGAGAAGGGAAGAAGGAGCAGAGACTGGCCCCTCAGTGGGGTGCAGCCTCAGAGCTGATCTTTGCTGAGGTGAAAAATGTCTCTGACTCTTTGGGATTAAGTGTTCTTGGACCTGCTCTTTGAGCAATGGTCTGTTCAAGGAGCTTGGAACGAGGCCACATCTAGGCTCGAGTCACTGAAAGGGAGGAACACCCTATCTGTTCCTCCTTCCTCCCATACTCCTTTTGGATCAGAAAAGCATGGTCACCTGGAAGGGAATAGAGGAACTTTCAATTGGCTTCTGTCATCTTCATAAGATCACAGGATTTAGAGGTGGGGGAGACTAAGGAATTACCTGGTCCAATTCCCTCATTTTATAGATAAGAAAGTGGAGTTCTGAAGATGGGAAATGACATGCTCAAGGTCACTCTACAAATAAATAGCAGAACTGGGGTATGACCCAAAGTCCTCTGCCTCTAAATCAGCGGGAGGATGTTTTAAAGAGATGACATCAAAAATATTCCCAGAAGAAATGATCAGAGAAATTCCAGCATCCAGAAACGCAAGTAGATTGAAACACCAGACTGGAAGAGAGCCCTGTTAGTCAATTCTCATCCCTTGCCAGGAGTCTAGAGGGCACTTGTCAGCCCAGATAGGGGCCTTCTGATTCTTTCAAAGAACTCTGGGCTACAAGTTTCATCAACTCCTACTGCAGCCCTTTGGAGTCTGGGAAACTTTTTATAGAACTTAATGGGTAAGGAAGAATCCATACAGAGAAGCAGATGCCAATGGCTGTGGGCTACAGTTGGCATTTGAGAACACAGAAATCTCTCCCTAAACCTTGCCTATCCAGCTCCCATAGTCTCTGCTCCCTCCATTAGATCCTTCTCCCTAAGAAGGTAGGTTTCATTCATTAGTCCCACTTCGCTGGAGTAGCTGGGCTCTGGTCCTCTAATTCCTAGGGCAGAAGAACAGGAAGGTAGAGGAGTCATCCCACATCTTGAGACTCTTTTTCTCCTCTCTCAGTGGAGATCAGAAATAACTCCGATGAAGAGTGGGTGGTTAGGATGATTTGTTTGGTAATTGTTGTACCAGGAGGTTGACCAGAAGCAACCCATTGGCTTTAGCTTAGCCCAAAATAGGACCTGAGGAATAAGGAATGAAGCCACAACTCAACCAAAATGCCTCCCTCCGGCCCCCACCCCCCATAAGAAGTAAGGGACAGTGGGAGTTTTCAAGTCTCATCTCTTCATAGTGGAGTTCCCCTAGAACTAACTCCATCTCAATGTCCAAATTTAAAAATAATGAGAGCTATTTCCATGCAAAATGAACCTCTTTGAGAAGGGCTAAGTTGCCCATCCATCAAAGTGGGAAGCTGGGAGGATGTTTTAGATAAGGTTCTTGTTCAGGCCTGAATTGGCTTAGAAAAACTATAAGGTCCTTTCCAAATGTGAGATTCCTGGATTCTTGTGTTCCTTTTCTGGCCAGGCTGGGAAGGGCACTGCCACTGTCACCTTTTTCTGGCCCAGGTGAGGATGGGGATTGGGGAATCCAGACGGAAAGCAACAGGAAGGTGGATGGGCGGAAAGAACAGCAAAGCCTGAATTTGAGTGACCTCCCAGGGATGACTGCTTTCATTTTAACTTGTGTCTGAGGACTGGGAAATATATTGCTAACTTTCTATGACCCTTGGGATCCA